TCTGTCAAAGCTCTCCTGAGACCACTCAACATTTGTTTATGGACTGCCAGTTTGCTAAGGATGTGTGGGCTCTCTCTAGTGATCTCATGCCCCTTCCCTCGCAGATTGGTGATCTGTACAATTGGCTTTTATCGCTGAGCGCCACGTTCACAAAGTCTGATTTGGACCCTCTCTCCAAAGCTCTCCTTATCTGTTGGCAAATCTGGGAGGCTAGGAACAATGTGGTGTTCAATGACTCTAAGGCCACCTTAGCTAGCTGTATTCATGCTGCCGCCTGTGTTGGTCTGGACTTTTGGAGGCTTAACTCGACCACCAGATTTGGTTCAATTGATTCTATGATTATTAAGTGGCATCCTCCTCCCACCGGCTGGATTAAGGTCAATTTTGACGGGTCTCTGATGAATTCTCATGCTTCCACAGGTTTTGTCATTCGGGATTATGAGGGGCATGTCCTCGTTGCGGGCTCTAACAATATTGGCGAAAATTCCATTAATGTTGCTGAATGTATTGCTCTTCGTGATGGTCTTGCCACTGCTCTTGATAGAGGATGGGATCAAATTGTGATTGAAGGGGATTCTAAGCTAGTCATTGACAGTATCCTGGGTAAAGCTAACCCCCCTTGGTGTATCCAACAGATTATTCAAGATATTTGGGCTCTGTCCTCTTCTGTTGCATGCATCCGGTTTCAACACGTTTTAAGGGAGGCCAACTTCACGGCGAATGCGGTTGCAAAATTAGGTCATGGTCTTTCTAATCAAGTTTTGTGGGAGCATGGGCTTCCGTTATCTGTTAGGAACCCCCTTTTATTTTGACCTCTTCGGGCGCTCTTGCCCGCAAGGCTTTGTCTTATCATTTTTCTTTTCCCTATTAAAAAAAAATAATAAATAAATTTTAACCAATCGAAATCCATTAACTAATGTTTACCAATCCAAACGTGCTCTAAATCCATAAGGCAACCCAACCAAACTCAGGCATGCCACTTTGACCTCCTCCTTTTCAGCATTTCCTTTTGGGAAAAGAGTCCAAAACAGCAATTTTCCCATCAAAACACATAAAAGACCAAAACTTTCCCAAGTCACTCAACAAACCTTTCAATTTCTGATGTGGGTTTTTTGGCCTTAAAAAAATTACAGGATTTGGTGGTGCTAGAATGCCAAAGATGGGCAAGCAAAGGAATAAACATAAAGTACGAGATCAGAGACAACAGAAATGGGTACAAAGCAGGGGCTCTCAAAGAAGGCATGAAGCACAGTTATGTCAAACTGTGTGACTATGTTGCCATCTTTGATGCTGACTTCCAACCTGAACCTGATTTTCTCTACCGCACCATTCCATTTCTGGTCCACAACTCTGATATTGCCCTTGTTCAAGCTCGCTGGAAATTTGGTAATCTTATGATTAATCTTGTTTTTATTGTATTTAATTAAATTATGCTCGTTACTGCCTTGGTTTGGTTTTGTTGACAACCATCCTTGCTATGAATCATGAATTTATTGCCTTTTGGATTTAAGTTTCTGGGTCTCTTTGACAATGCTTCTTTTCTTTAAAAAAGATATAGAAATATAGAGATAGTGCTTAGACACAGAACAAGTTTTATTCCACTTATGTTAGTTAGCTGTGAGCATAGCATCATAATTTTTTTTTCCTACTTTGATGCGTAAGGAACCAAATCCCGATTAATCGTATGTATTTTTAATTGTATTTGTTTAGATTTTTAATTGTTTTGTGAAATAACTTGTGAGAGAGAGGATAAGTCTTTACTGGTTATCCAATATAGGAAAATAGAGTTGTAAAGACACAAGGGTAAGGGTAAGGGATGATGATGGCTTCTTGGTGGCATTGCAGTAAATTCGGATGAGTGCTTGATGACAAGAATGCAAGAGATGTCACTGGATTACCATTTCACGGTGGAGCAAGAAGTGGGGTCTGCAACTTATGCCTTCTTTGGTTTGAATGGTATATCTTATTTTATTTTTTGAAAATTACTAAGGGAGCTATGTAGAAAAGTTTCAAGTATCCCTAATTAATGATATGACACTGGGAATGTGATGCAGGCACGGCAGGTGTGTGGAGAATTGCAGCGCTCAATGAGGCTGGAGGATGGAAGGACCGCACAACAGTGGAGGATATGGATTTAGCAGTCCGAGCTAGTCTCAGAGGCTGGAAATTTGTATATCTTTCTGACCTTAAGGTAATGAAGTTTGTTAAAACGGTTGTAGTCTTGCAAAAATATCAAGAAATCTCAAAAGAAGTTACCTGTGGTAACCAAATTAAATCAAAACATTAGGTCAAATAATTCATTTCATTTGAGGATTATTTGACATAATTGGGAATTAATCAACCTGATTGGGAGTTACTCAATTAAATTGGGGATTACCCAATTAAATTGAACGTTACCTAATTGGGTTGAAAATTGATTTGATTAATTACCACGATTCCCAATTAAATGAGAAGTTACCTAATTGAATTAGGATTTGATTTGATACCTACCACAATTAGGGATTTGATTTACCCTAATAAATCAAATCCCTAATTAATCAAATTAATTCCAAAAAGGGGAGGAACAATTCCCTTCCATCTACGGAATTATTCTTCTGAAACCCTAGCCTCCAAGACCACTATAAAAAGATAGTCACACACAAGGGTTGAGGGACGTATGAAATCTTTACTGAAACTCTGCAGAAAATTCCTCTCAAACCTTAGCCACCTCCTTTCTCTCTCTCTTTTACATAAGGCTCCAGCAGCCCAGTTTACACCATAAACACATCTCCGTACCCTATTAGCTATTGTTTTTTATACGATTCAATTGAACTAATTTAGGCATCGGAGGGCCTTCGGCCAACACCCCCTGGGTGTGGTCCTCTTATTGGTTCTATTTTGCAGGGAGAAGGAGGCGACGAAGAAGAAAGGGGAATCTTTCCAATCGAATATTCTCGTGGGGAAATTTGCTCACACAAATTGGTGCTTTCATTGAGAGCACGAGTTATACTCAACCCGTGCCTAAGGAATCCGTTCCTCCTATTTTCCAATCCACCGAAGCCTTCCAAACAACAATAGTTGGAAGCAAGAAGATGAGAGGCAAATCCGCCACGATGGCTAAATCCACGACGGCCCAAAGCCACTCCACCCACGATCCCGCGATCGACATGGCTGCACCACCACCTCTCACCATCGCACCGACCACCACCGCCGAACATGGTGGAACCTCCCATCAAGGTGGGCTCGTTACCACCACCGACTTAGGCCCGGTCTTGGAGCAACTTCAAGCGTTCCCTCCATTGTCTTTACGCTCGATGCACGCTCCCGCATACACCTCCAATGAAACCCTAGCCTGTGTGCAATTGGGCTCCATGCACTTCTCTTCTCCTGATTCACAAAGTCAAGCAGACCTCGGTCTGAGAGTTGACTAGCTAGCTCGGAGGATAGACGACCAAAGCAATCTGATGAGGCAACTCCTCAACCAAATGAGCTTGGCTCAAAACCTTGGCCTTGGACAACCGGGCGAAGAGAGAAGGATGGACGAACACGCTGGTAGGCAGCTAGACAGGTACCAAGCAGGTCGAGCAGGAGTGGGCAGACAAGGCGATGGACAACAACTTGATCGGCCAGCCGACATGTCACAAGCATTTGCGAGCCCCACTCAGAGCATATTGAGTTTGAGGAACAACGTGCGTGAAAGGTTAGGCCCACAACTTGACATCCACGCCAGCTTGGGCCCGCAGGGAAATGTACTTCAAAGGCTAGGCCCACAGGGAGGTTAGCTAGACAACCATTGCAACGAGGATCGTGAAGAAAGGCGCTCAACTGTCCACTCGCAGAGGAGCATTCGCGAAAGGCTAGGCCCCCAGGGTGGTCAGCTGGATAACCTTCACGATGAGGACAATGAGGAAAAGCGCTCCGCTACTCACTCTCGAAGAGTTGATTCTCGTCGGCAAGCTATAGAAAATCCTTCGCAAGCGCAGTCCACCAACACGCCGCCTAGGCAGCGTAGGCGAGAAGGTCGACCATCGCAGATCAACAAGGAGGTCAATTAGCATCGCCCAAACCGCGAAGGTTGCCAACGTGATCGACCAGCAATGTGTGCGGAAGATGTTGAGAAGCTTGTGAACAACCGACTTCGAGACCTGAAGACCGGCAGGAACTTTGAAGACGCACTACGTAAGGAGATGGACAAGGTGAACTCTACTCATTTCACTGCCGAAATCGAGCAAGCTGCTCCTCCGAAGAGATTCTCAACACCCTCGTTCACACACTTCAAAGGGGATTTTGATCCAGAGAGCCACCTAAAACACTTCAAAAGTGTCATGATCCTCCACAAGGTAGACGACATGCTAATGTGCAAGGTGTTTGTGATGACCTTGCGGGGAGCAGCCCAAGACTGGTTCCACACCTTACTATTCGGGTCGATCAGCAGCTTCAAGTAGCTGACTTACGTCTTCACCAAAGAATACACCTCTTACCAAAAAAATAAGAAGAACCCTGACCACCTGTACAACTTGTGCAAGAAGTCCGACGAATCCCTTCGAGATTACATCAAGATATTCAAAGCAGAAAAGGCCAACATTGTAGGATGTGACGACCGAATCGCGTCATCTGCCTTTAAGAAAAGTCTTCCAGCTAAACACGACTTGTACCGTGAGCTGACTATCACTCCTAGCCAGACTCTGACAGAGGTTTATGCGACCGAGGAACGCTATGCACTTTGGGATGACGATCGAATCGCCGCAAAGAAGTCTACAAAGTAGGAAGATCAGTCGACTAAACGGGCAAGCCAAAGAAGCGACGGGTTTAGCAACAGGAACAATGACAAGTGCAGGTCACACCCACAAGGAGACGCTACTGCATGAGAGAACTACACCAAGTTCACCATCCCCATACATCAAATCTTAGCCCAAGTAAAGAACAAACCTTGGATAAGAAGACCACCACCCTTGAAAGGAGATCCGGACAAGAGGGATGTTAGCAAATACTGTGCCTTCCATGGGACGCATGGGCACACTATGAACAACTGCTTTCCTTGGAAAACGCACCTTGAAGAACTCGTGAGGGAAGGTCACTGCACAGAATTCATTGGGAAGCAGGCTATCCAGCGGATTGAAGATCGTGACACCGCCAAGGAGCCACCCCAGAAGGTTATAAGGATTAACACGATCCTAGCCGACTCCGAGGAGTCTGGGCTGACCAGCAAGGAAAAGAAGAGGAAGATCAAACATGCCATTATGATCTCCCAAATCTCGACCGACCTTCCACCAGCAGAAGATGATCCTGTGATCGACTTGCAAAAGAAAGATCTGATCGGCCTCAACTTGCCACATAACGATGCCCTTGTCATCAGCATTCAAATCGCCCAGGCCATGGTCGACCGAATCCACGCAAACGAGGGCAGTGCAACCAATATCCTACAACTGGCAGTCATCCAGCAGATGAGCTTGAAGACAAAGATCAACAAATCAGCAAGATTGCTGACTGGCTTTAATGGTGCAACAACAGTTACCATGGGCACGATAGACCTCGATGCCTACTCTCCGCCTATAGTCAGCTTGCAAACATTCATGGTTATTGATGAAGTCTCACCCTACAAAGGCATTCTGGACAGACCATGGATCGGCAAGATCAACGCCATCACCTCTGCCACCCATCAGAAAATTCAGTACCCAATCCCTGGGGGTGGTGTCGGCCAAATCAACAGCGATCAGGCAATGGCAAGGAAATGCTCTGCCCAAGGACTGAGGAAAAGAAAACAAGCGCAATTCCTCCCTGTGAGCCAGGCAAATATGAAGGAGGTTTAACAACTGAATCTTGCTCTCTTATAGCAATCAAAGCATCAGGACCAAGCTGAGGAAATATGTCCAGAGATCTTTCTGATTAAGGATGGAAACCCAAGGAAGATGTCGAGTTAATACCCTTGGATCTTGACCAGCCAGACAAAAAAGTGCGAATCGGCTCGTGCCTAAGCCCAGACTAGAAGGTGGGGCTTACCACCTTTCTCCAGAACAACAAAGATATGTTCGCATGGTCGTCGTCAGACATGCCTGGCATCGATCTAAAAATCATCTATCACCATCTCCACGTCAACCCTGCCTGCAAGCCAGTGGCGCAGAAGAGACGCAACTTCGTACCCGAGCGAGTCACTATTATCGAAGCTGATGTTAACAAACTCCTAGCTGCCGGCTTCATCGAAGAGGTCTCCTACTCAGAGTGGCTTGCCAACGTTGTTCTGGTGGCATAACAAGAGAAGGGCAAGTGGAGAGTTTGTGTCGATTACACTGACCTCAACAAAGCATGCCCAAAAGACAACTTCCCATTGCCGAGGATCGACCAACTCGTGGATTCCACTTCTGGCAATTAGCTACTCAACTTCATGGATGCCTACCGCCTATAACCAAATCTTGATGCATGAGGATGACAAGATGAAAACTTCTTTCATCATCAAGAGAGGGACCTACTGTTACAATGTCATGCCTTTTGGGCTGAAGAACGCCGAAGCAACCTAGCAAAGGCTCATGAATAAAATCTTCAAGGAGCAGATCGGCAAAACTATGGAAGTCTACATCGACGACATGCTGGTCAAGGCCCCAAAGTGTGCATATCTGTACCCACGAGATGCTTGACCCTGACAGATGATGATGGAGCTGACCCCACTTGAGTCTTCTTAGCAAAAGGGAGCCTTGGCTTCTTACTCAATGGAGACCCATTCTTTGCGTGCGAAGTAGTAGCTTCACCCCTTGAAGATTTGGCAGCAGGATTTCTCTTTGGGGGACTCTTCCTGTCCGGCAAGTCGATCGTCAGGATCCGGGCCGTTCTGCTTTCACCTTTCGACATCCTCGGCAGGGGGCAGACCACTGTCTACCTCGATACTCGCTCAACAGCCAAGCGCCACTCGAGAAACTTTAAAGGGATGTTCAAAGCACGGCGGACCTTAGCCATGTCCGGTCTAAGCTCCAATTGCTTGCTGATGTCACTCACTATAAGTAGAAGACAGAAGTTAGTCAGCCGCACTTCAAGAAATTCAAATAAAAAGAATTAGCTCTCACTTGAGTCTTCTCAGTCTTTGGCTTCTTCCTCAACGGGGACTTATCTTTCGCCAGCGAATTCGCAGCTTCATTTCTTGAAGACTTGACATTAGCCTTCCTTTTTTAAGGGGAGTCCGGCAGAACACTCCTCTTGCCCAGCCAGCAGATCATCCTAGTCTGGACCATTATGCTTCCATCTCTCAATATCTTGGGCAGAGGGCAGACCACCAACTTCCTCCGGATACCCACTTAGCTGACGAGGCCTGCAACTCACGAGGCCCAACATGCTCCAGCCCAGGCCTGCGATGATAGGCAGCAGCTGGTCCATCTGCGTGCACCTGCCCCACCACAGCTGCCGCTCACTGCCAACCGTCGCATGTCACGATGACAACTAGCCGGATTTCCCCCAGCTAACCTTCGCCGCAAAAAAGAAGTAAAGATGAAGAAAAAGAAATATACGTGCTCGACTTACTTTGGGATGCACGGCGACTTACTTTGGGATGCACGACGACTTACTTTGGGATGCACGACGACTCCTCTCTTCGACAAGCAGTACAAGACCCAATTATTGACTACCTAGTGAATGAAAACCTGCCCAAGGACAAGTCCGAGGCCAGAAAAATCAAGCAGAAGGCTGCAAGATACTACATGAAAGGCGACATGCTTATCCGCAGATCATACTACGAGCCTCATCTCCATTGCAGAGAAGCTGCTTCACGAAGCACAAACTCAATGGAGTCTTTTTCGAGCATTGTG